GCTGAAGAGAAGGCAAAGAAGGAGGCTGAAGAGAAGGCAAAGAAGGAGGCTGAAGAGAAGGCAAAGAAGGAGGCTGAAGAGAAGGCAAAGAAGGAGGCTGAAGAGAAGGCCAAGAAAGAAGCGGAAGAAAAGGCCAAGAAAGAAGCGGAAGAAAAGGCCAAAAAGGAGGCTGAAGAACGGGCCAAAAAGGAGGCTGATAAAAAGGCTAAAGAGGACGCTGAAGAAGAGGCCACCAAGGAGGGAGAAGCGAAGGGTGTGCAGCCTAAAGACGTCGAAGAGATCGCCTCCGACGCCGCGAAGGAGCCCACCCCTGCTGACGTCGCCAAATCGGCTGACCAAGCGGGCGAGGGGACGCCAAAGAAGAAGTTCGTGCCGAAGAGAGTCCTAATGTACCAGATGGAGCAGAAGCAGAAGGAGGAGCAGATGCAGAAGATTCTAGAGGAGCAGAAAAAGCAGAGGGAGATGAAATTGCAGCTGCTTAAGAGCAGAAGCCAAGGGTCGTCAACGTTTATACCCACGGCGAAGCTGTTGCAAATGGAGGCCCAAAAGGAGGCCAAGAAGGAGGTGCTCGATGGGACAGAAGAGGGCTCTAAAGGAGCAGCAACCCCCAGCAAAGCGGAATCCCCCATAAGAGGGGAACTTCCCAGTAGAGCGGAATCCCCCAACAAAGCAGACTATCTAAGAGGTGGCACCCCCAAAATGAGACCCACCAATGAACAAAAGAAAAGCGCCACGATGATTAAACGAGCCAATCACATAGAACAAAAGAATGTAAAAAGTATAATCGAAGAAATTGCCGAAAAAACAGAAAACGCAAAAATTGTAGAGAAAATGGATATCGAGGAAGTCACCAAGAAGAGACGAGAAGAGTTGTACAAAAAGCAACTCGAAAAAATCACTAGAAGAAATGAAGAAAATACAAAATATAATCATATATACAAACATGACTTGGATAGTATTAAGAGGTTCTACTTGGATCTCAAGAACAGGATTGAGAATGACCGCTCGATCAGTCAAGATGAATGTGTGGATTTGTGTTCCACCCTCCAAACGGACGAATGTACGTGCCCATGTGGCTATTCCGCTGTTCCGCGCTTCATGCAGCGTTATGTAGTGGCGCTACGAGGAGAACGCGATTTCGCATTTTTCCATCCCATTCTACCTCCCCATTTTTCCATCCCATTCTACCTCCCCATTTTTCCTCCTCTTTTTACTGTAGGCAACTACCTGGAAAGCCACGTGCCCCTCTTCGTGACGATAACCGTTTTTATTTTGAGTCTTACTCAGAATTGTGCCGACGAGGTGTACCTGAAGAAGGCGGCCAATTTGAGGCTCCTGCTTCTTCACCTGAAGGAGGTACTTCGCGTGGGCAGCTCCCCGCACGGGGAAGTCACACAGGGGGAAGCCACCCCGTTTGTTACGCCTTTATGAAGCATCCCAATTGCTCAACTGGCGAACTGCCCAACTTCCCGACCTTCCCCACCTTCCCGACCTGCCAAACCTCTATCCTTTTCCCCCCACTCTGCAGAGCAGCAAAATTGAGAACCACGACGAGTACATCCTAAACGACGTCGTAAAGCTTTGTGATGGTAAGGATGACCCCGATTGGGCGACCCCGACGCGCGGAGTGGCTACGTGGAAAATGCGGCCATTCGATTTATACTGCCTTATGGAACATACACCCCTGTGGCTGCTCCTTTGCGAAACGGCGCCCTCAAATGTGTATGCATATATATACCAACGTTTGTGGACTTACGCGCGCCCCTCCTTTCCTGTTTCCTCCCTCACCACCACCACCAGAACTGAAGTACCCGCACCTGTCTGAGGAGACCTCCCTGGTGGAAGCTGCCTTCGACGCGCTTCTCTTTTCCGGCGTTATCTCCAAGGGGTCATTTGTGAAGGTACGGACAAGCGCTGCCGGCCGTTTCGCATGTGCCTGCACCGGCGGAGATGTGCATTGATACATACACATATGTATATTTATATATACATACTTATATTTATATATATATTTCTTTCTTTTTTTTTTTTGTTTTTTCCCTCCCCCTCCAGTGGTTTGACGAGGACAACGCCGACTCGGAGCTAAAGAGCAAAGCCATGCTACAGGTGAGTCATCGCGGGAGTACAAAGGGGCGCACTCAGGGGCGTACAAAGGGGCACACACGGGGGCGTACAAAGGGGCGCACACAGCTGCTTACAAACGGGCCGTCCACCAATGCAAGCGCGCGGGGGGGTCCTCTCCCGAGATGCACATCATTTCACCAGCACAAAAGTGTGAAGTGACTCGATGGGATGACGGACAAGAACGCAGAGCGAAAGAAAAACGTTTCGCTTGGCACAGAAAAAGAATTTTCATCAAAAAAAAAAACGCATATGTTTTAATGATGAAGAAGGAAAGGCATGTGCTCACAGTTGAAAGACCGTTTCCACTCCGCACGCGGGGTGGCCTAGCATGTGTGTTACACGCCTGGGTATACGCCTTTGTATACGCCTGTGTACACGCCTGTGCTGTATATACACCCTGCGAGAATGCAATCTGTTGCCGCCTGTTGACGCCCGAGTGCAATCCTTTGGCGCCCCTTGACGCTCATTTCCTTAATGAAAACGATTCGCTTATGCTCTGTTCCCCCCACTCTGCGCAGCTGATATACTGGCATAGATGGCTCACCGAGGAAGAGCCGCAGGATGTTGAAGACGAAGAAGAGGAAGCTGAATTGGAGATTGAAGAAGCGGAGGATGCGGAACCTAAAAATGAAGACGACATGCAGGAAAACCTCCCCAAGAGTTATTTGTTCAAAAAGATAAAAAAAAAAATATTCTGAGATCTTAAAAAATATATTTTTTGCGTTTTTCGTACCCACCCCAGCGCTTCCGCGTTTCATGTGCGCATTGCATTTGCGCCTCGATTTGTATGTCGCCATTTGTGCCTCCCTGCGTTCATCCGGAGGATCTGCCGAACATGTGCAGAAGATGTGGTCACGATGTGCCGAGGATATCGGGAGGATATTCCCCACGTTTATCACCTCGTTCACTTCATTTACTTCGCCACTTCCACCTCGGCCATCGGCACCCCATCACGCGTTGCGTTTTTGCCTCTGCTGATGGGTCTCCGCTGATCGGCTTCTGCTGATCCGCCTGTGCCGACCCGCCTCTGTTGACGCGCCTCCAATTTTTTCTCATTTTAAAATATGTCATTTAAAAAAACTCTAATTAGTTATTTTGAACCTGAATGTGTTTCCTAACTTTAGTAGTTAGATCGATTGCGCTGGACTAGCGTCATGGGGACAGATATTGCCCCTACGGGTCAATGACGAGAGAGATCCTTTTGAGGACACCGCGTCATACCTTATATCATCACTCTGTTGTGCACAGGGGGGGGATTGCGATGCTCCCTATTAAGAGGTACTATATCTATACATGCGTCACCCGGAGCAGCGTTATTTTTTTTCCTCCCCCTTTTTGCAAGTATAACCTCGTGGGGTTAGTACACCCAGCTGTGCGCCGACGGCAAAGCACTACAAAATGAGGCTTATTGAGAAGGGAGCGAAACGGGCAAAGCGGTAAGGCGGTAAAGCGCTCATATGATATGCCACTCGCGCATACTCTCCAGTGGGGCGACAAAAAAAAAAAGCAGCAAGCCGCATGTGGTGTATCCATCATGCACATGCCTGTCGAGGGTGTGACAAAATGAGACAATGCACGCCAGGTCACATTTTTGTCGTCGGGCCTCATAGTGGAGTGGTGCCAGCTGATCAATTTCAGCGGTAAGTGAAATCAATTCAGAGGAGGGCTTCTTCCCCCCTCTCTAGAAGTGCACCTTTTTTTGCGGCAACGATTGTAAAAGAGAGGCTCTTCAGGATTTTGCCAAGTTTGAGGAATCAAAATGGTCAATCTCGGGCTACGGCTACGACTGCGCGGGTTATATAAGCACGTCGGCATTTTTTCTAAACCATTTTTTAACTTTAATTTCTCCATCGAACATTCGGTTCTTATCGCATTTATTTAATTTATTTTGCCGTTATCCGGTTACTTTCTGTACTTCCCCCTGTTCTTCTTCCCCTTTTTTTTACTTTCCCTTCGAGCATACTGCTCATCGGCGTCATTTCTCTTCTGACACCTTCAACGAGACCACACCTGCGCATTGCCTCAACGCGAAGTTTCTTTTGGGCCTTAAAAAGAAGGAAAGCCCCACGTGCAAGCCTATCTACATTCCCTAAGTACCCAAAATGACGACATACACGTTGGTTCTACTAAGGCATGGTATGTTTTAAGAGGAAAAAAAAAAAAAAAACACCGTAGGGTGAGGTATGGCGGCTCAACGTGGGGCTGCAATTTAATTTTTCTTTTTTTTTCTTTTCTTTTCTTTTCTTTTCTTTTCTTTTCTTTTCTTTTCTTTTCTTTTCTTTTTTTTTTTTTCGTCGTGGGGAATGGCTCCCCCCATGTATAGTTTCCACTGGGGGTCCCCATTTACATGCCTGCACACCGGATGTCTAACCCTTCCGCACAAACTGGCTTACTCCACGTTCCCGTTAGGTGAAAGCACTTGGAACAAGGAGAACAAATTCACCGGCTGGACGGACGTACCCCTGAGTGAACAGGGAGAGCAGGAGGCCATGTAAGTATAAAAGCTTAGGAAAGGAAGTATAACCCTTCCAGGCTAGTGGGGAGCGCCCCGATGAGAGCAGTGATGGAGCATACAACGCCACATCATTTGACGAGGTGCTTCCATTTCGATCGCTGTTCTGAGGTGTACCGCGTAGCACTACGCTTCTTTGTCACTTACCGCTACTCTCCTGTACCGCTCATCTCCCCCTCCAGAGCCGCGGGAAACTACCTGAAGGAGAAGAACTTCCACTTCGACGTGGTGTACACGTCGGTGCTGAAGAGAGCCATCACCACCACATGGAATGTGCTGAAAACAGGAGACCTGCTACACGTCCCAGTTATTAAAACGTGGAGACTAAATGAAAGGCATTACGGATCCCTACAAGGATTGAACAAATCGGAGACGGCAAAAAAATACGGAGAGGAACAAGTCAAAATCTGGAGAAGATCCTATGATATCCCTCCTCCCAAGTTGGATAAAGAAGATAGTAGATGGCCAGGACATAATGTCGTTTATAAGAATGTCCCAAAGGATGTTCTACCCTTCACAGAATGTCTGAAAGACACCGTTGAAAGAGTTTTGCCCTTCTGGTTTGATCACATAGCACCTGATATTTTGGCAAATAAAAAGGTCCTCGTCTCAGCACATGGAAATAGCTTGAGAGGGTTAGTCAAACATTTGGATAACTTAACTGAAGCAGATGTATTAGACCTGAACATTCCAACTGGGGTTCCCCTAGTCTATGAGCTAGATGAAAATCTGAAGCCTATTAAACACTACTACCTGCTGGACAGTGAGGAACTCAAGAAGAAAATGGACCAAGTGGCAAACCAGGGCAAGGCCAAATGAGGGGCGGAGGAGCCATAACCGATGGAGTCAGCACAGAAGGGAATACCGCAACGGAAAAAGCAGAACGGAGAAGTGACCAGACAAGTGCATCAGAGAAAAGAAACGCACCAGGAGTAGTTCGCTAGACGTGCTGCTACACCTGCCGCTACACGGCGAGGCGTTAACAGAGAGCTCGCCCGTTGCGCGATTTAATGGCCTGTTCACAGTCGGCAGGTTAGAGCGCGGCCCCTCGTAGCCCCGAACCGAGGCATATAACGAGACAACCATACGGTCATATAGAGGCAATGAGAACGACGGCCAAATAATCAGTGCGCGATCGCTTCGCGGTGTCGCCTTGACCGCATTGTAGCCACATCCTTCCCTTGTTCATCCGAACAGAGAGAGGTGGTGGTGGGGGAGATGCTAGGGGGAAAAAGTTCATCTGCCATTCGTCCAGCTAGCTTTCCTCGCGTATATACGACGAGCATGCCGCCGTAACGTCGCACAAATATTCCCCCATTCCCACTGACGCCTTTTTCTCCACGTGGGTATCACTAGTATACACTAGAAAATCGTTTCTGCTTATAAACATGTACGTTACTCAAAATTGCCTGAAACGAATTAAAAACTGACTGGAAAGATAAAATTGTAAAAGGAGAGCGCATCCCCGTTAAGCGTTGCGAAATGGGCTGTCCGGCACGTGGGTGAACGGAAGTGCCATTTTAAACGTGGTGTCCTCTGGAACGAATGGACGCTTATGTGCACCTTACATTATAGCAAGCAATTCGAGTCGTGTAGCAGACGGTGGGGCTGCTTCGCCATTTTAAAATAATCTTTCCCCTATGGCGCGAGTTCCGTGGCATGTGCTACGGGCAAAAAAAGGGAACAGGAAAAAAAAGGGGAAGAAAAAAGTACAGAGCTGGAGGAGGCATCTCCGCTTGGCCTCATCTCAGTTGGGCAATTTTGCTTTTGTCTTTAACACGTTTGCTACACATCTGCTACACGTCTGCTACGTTTCGCCAGGGGCGCAGGAAAGACATTCACCGGCGTCGCCCCACCCTTCATTGGTAAAGGTAAAGTTTGTCACATTTCTCTCATCAGTAGCATCCCAAACTTGAATATAAATCACACGGCCGCTCCTTCATATCAAGTGAAAGTAAACGTCTCATTATTTACAATTTTTGTGTGTCCATTACAGTTGCTTTTTTTTTTTCCCCCAATTTTGGCCTCCTCCAATCCGCTTTATTTTTAAAGGCATCATGTCATGTACCTTTTGTCTTTCATGTGTGCAAAAAAAAAAGGACAAGCGAAACAGCCAAAAGGGATATGCATCCAAATGTGCCTATTTTTTTTTACTTGATATGGTAAGGTAAAAAAAAAAAAACAATAAAATAAAGAAATAAAAAAATAAAAATTCATATAAAGCTGCCATAAAATGATACATTTCGCATGAACAACTCAGGTAAAAAGATAAAAAAAAAAAATATATATAATTACATATAGCATGTACCCACTACGTACATATAATTTATATTGTACGCTGGTGTACGTATTGTATACTTAATAGCAATAGGATTATAAAAAAAATTAATTTCACAAACATGCACAAGAGGAAAGAAAAAAAAAAAATTTTGAAACACGGAACTGTGAAATTTTGACAAAGTTTTCACGATATTTGAGTACTTTTCATTTTTTCCTTTTTTTTCACTTTTCTTTCGTGTTGTTCTCTCGAGTAAATGGCTGAATGAATTTTTTTTTTTTCTTTTTTTTTTTTTTTCCCCTCTTTTCTTTGCAACGATTAACTTAACGTGCCTACGTTTTCGCGCGTAAGTAATGTGCTCCCCCTCCCCATTAGTTGCCTGGCGGCCGCTGGAACATGTAGAAGGAGCAACAGTTAGCAATAGGAGAGATAGACCAACAAGCGAAGCGGCGTATCAAGCAGCGGACGAAGCGGTAGACCAACTGGAGTCCAACCGACAGACCAATTGGAACTCCAACCGACCAACTCTCAGCTGAACCCAGAGAAATTCACCTCAAAGAGAACCAACCATTACTCCCCGATACGAAACAGAATGGTATGTTACAAAGTACAGATTTTATTTTAATACATGAGTCAGCAAGCCTGTACGAATATAACTGCCCCCCTTGTCTCTTCCCCGTCCCGACTGAAGAAACCTAGTCCTTTCAGTTCCCCCTTAAAACGTAAACAAAGAAGAGAAGAACATGTCTGCATTTAAAAAGGCCATCACGTACTACTTCGCCATAGTATCGCTCTTCTCTGCAGTTTTTTTGGCACTCATTGGTCTTCTGCTATTGTATGACTCCGACTCGTTGGAGTTGCACGGGAATAAGGCTGAGAAGGTGAAGCCGTCCTTCATTTGCGCAGGGGTAAGCCGCGGAGAGGTGTAGCGGTCCGGCAGTTCCGCAGTACGGCGGTGCACCGTCCGTGAGTTACTCCCCAAGGGTAGTGGACCGAACGGCACAGTTTCATCTCGAAGGGGCGATCATTTACGGTTGCGCTAACTGGCGAGTCCTAAACTGAGCACACCATTATTTCTTCCCCCCGTCGCAGATCTATTTTGGCATACTAATCCTGAGCAGCATTGCACTATTTAGAGGCAGTCGAAAATCGAAGAAGTATCAAAGTACCAGCTCATAACGCAGGGAGAGACAAGAGACTCAGCCCACGTCCCCCCATCTCCGTCCACTCAAGAGGGCCCATACCATAACTGTTTTGATGTTTTTCCTCCCCAACGAATCACACACGGAGCGACCTCCTGGGAGCATTTTCAACGTATCGATTCACGCAGCCTGTTAATAACCTTTCTTGTCCAACCCGTTTTGACCAAGCCACCCCCCGGATAGCTGCTTCCTCCCTTGTTTGTTCAATCCTTCCTCGTGCTCCTGTTCTGTTGGCTCGTGTTGTGTAAGGACGCCCTGGAGTGAAGCCAAAAGAGAGGAAGTTTCCACCCCGAAAAAAAAAAAATGGGCCCTTCAGTATGAATCCCCATTCGCCTTTGTTTTTGTCCGAATCGTTTAATTGAGCAAAAGAGAAGAAAAAGAGAAACAACAGAGAAAAAAGGAAATAACAACCTATACATGTGTTACCCATTTGACTTTTTTACTCTTTTTTTTTTTTTTTTTTTGCGAAAAGGATAAGATTCCATTCCCCCTCGTACGAGATGAAACTTATACACATGTATGCATCCAAAATATATGCCTTTTTTTTTTTTTCTATACTTGCCCATTTGGAGGGCTTTAAAATGTTTCATTTGCTAAGGTTAATTTGGGTCCTTCAAGTTACTCTCTTTTTTTAAACCCGCTAAGGTTATTTATGCTTAAGTGGGATAAGCAGTTTAGTTTTTTCTTCTCTTTTTCATTTTTCTTTTTTTTCATTTCTCCTTCCTTTTCTTTTTTTTTTCATTTCTTTGTTCCTCTTTTTTTTTCTCTTTTTCGTCGCCCCCTCGTTACGTTATCGCTACGCCATAGTTACGTTGTTGCTTCGCCCCATCTTTCTCCCTTTTTTTTTTTTTTTTTTTTTTTTTTGTAAACCTTTTGAATACACGTTGGATTAATTCTAATGTGGAACTTTCGCAATTAAGTTTCTTTCTCCCCCCACCTCTCCTTTGAAGTGTGTACCTTAGCCCTGTGCAAGGATAACTCTCCACGCAGTTGCGAATGCACACACACATCCTCCGAAAGCAGAAGACGAAGCATGTTCCAGTGGAACCATTTAACGTACTGCAGATGTAGATTGAGCTATGCGTGCATACGAACATCGACTGGCAGCGTGTCCATAAGATGGCTAGCCAATTTGACGGACCATAAAAACGAGAATCATACTTTCTCTAAAAAAAATTTCAACAATGTGCTCATGCAAAATATCAGAATTACGCAAGATGGGCAGATCAAGTGCGAGCGGTTCTTCTTTTCCAAGTACAGCCTGCCCTACGTCCTGAGTAAGGCCGCGTCGGTTTGCCCTCATTGAGGAAGCGTTTCGTCGGTTTGCCCTCATTGAGGAAGCGTTTCGTCGATTTGCCCCCATTGAGGAAGCGTTTCGTCGATTTGCCCTCATTGAGGAAGCGTCTCTTTTGTTTCCCCCTATTGAGGAAGCATTTCGTTGGTTTGCTCTCATTGAGAGTGCTTCCATAGTGTATGCTTCTTCTACTTCTCCCCCTTCCCCCCCACCGCAGACATCCCCGTGAATGACCTCCGCCTCATCGATTCGAGTAACAACCACAACCCGACCCTCCTGGTGAGGAAGAACATGATCCTGCTACGCACTGGCTTCATCAGCTGCGTAATCCGTTTCAACGAGTTATGGATGTTTGAGCCGAAGAACCCTCTAGTGGTGAAGGCCACTAATTTGGTTAAGAAGAATTTTAAAAGGAAAAGCGACTTGGACGGTGAGGAAGCGGAAAAGGATGGGAGCCCAAATGGGCAGGGGAATAATGTAGCGAGTTGCTTTGAAGGGAAGGACGACTGTCCGGGGGTAGCCGATCAGGTGTGTCTAAGAACTGTCTCGATGGAGTGCCCCGTAGATGCCGCGCACGAGAGGCCTGCAGATATCGCTGCGTCCTGCCCCGTAGATACCGATTCGTACTGCCCTCCTGCAGACGAGCTAAACCACGTGAATGTTAAAAATCATTTTTACAAACACAAAGGGAACATTTACTTCGAGTTCCTCTGTCTGGACATCTGCATGCAGCTGTCTATAAAGGAGTATGAAGAAGATCTGTACCGTCTAAACGAACAAATCAAAGGAATCATCCTGCAACATCGAAAGGAAGAAAACAACGAAATTAATATTCTGACGAATAATCTACTCAGAGATATGATGAAAATCAAAAACAGACTGCAGAAGGTTTCTAATCTGTTAAATGCTCTCCGTACCAGTATCGAAAGAATTCTAAATAATCACATGGACATGGAAAACATGTATTTGACTTTTCTAAAGACGAATGTAACGAGGGAAGGAACCTTTTCTGATAAATGTAGTAGGTCATCAAACCCTCTAAAGGATTGCACCGATTTAGAGATCGTTTTAGAGACCCACTTACAGCTAACAGATGAGCTGTATAGAGAATTAGAAAACCTGGAGGAAAAGATTACTCACTATGAAGAACTGATGCGACTCAATTTAGATTACAATCGGAACAAATTCATTCTCTTAAATGTGAAAATATCCTTTGCCACTTTATTTTTTTCCATCTGTTCTGTAATTACCAGTCTATTTGGTATGAATTTAAAGAACTTTTGTGAAGAGAGCGATTATGTCTTTTTTGTTGTCTCTCTTTCCATCTGCGTGTCGTCTTTCCTTGGCATTCACCTCACGAGGAACATCAACACGATTCTCCGCTTCTTCGACCGCTATGGGGTGAAGTAGGACCGAAGCGGGGCACTCCATTCATGAGGTCTTCGTGTGCAAGGGCTCTTAAGTTGCGCCTCCCACCCGGAGCCATTTGGGCGAAACCATTTGGGCGAAACCATTTGGGCGAAACGGTTTGGGTGTAACGGTTTGGGTGTAACCATTTGGGCGCACTTCTTAAGTATATGCTTCTGTTAGGCAGGATCTGTTCGGGGGGGACGGCCTCCTTTTTGCGACCCATTTCCCCCCTTGAGCCGATTTACGCTTAAAGAAAGTGAAACAGCTGCTAAGGCAAATGCTGTCGCGCATGTAGACGCCGATGCTGACATTCAAACAAGTTGCACGCCGGGACCCCTACGGGGAGAGGCATCCACTATGGGAGGTGGGGGAATGGCGGCGCCCCCCGAGTGTAGGGAACTGCACAAAAAAAAAGAAAAAAAAGAAAAGGCACAAATGGGTCATCATCAGGTGAACTAACAAATACACGAATAAGCGGATAAGCCAATGGGGGTTCAAAAAAAAGAAGATGGAAATGAAGACAAAAGTGGAGACGACCAGGAGGAGACGAAGACGAAGCGAAGAGATATGAGAAGCTCGTGTCATTTCGCACAAAACAACGAATGAGAACACGTGCAAACGCAGCCGGTGCGACGTTTACGCCGTGCAAAGGAGGGCGCAAAGATGGGCGGGGGAAAGGAAACACAGACGAAAGCACGAATGGGGAAATCAATAAAGGCTCTCCCAGTCCCTCTCCCTGCTGAGGGATAGCCAAACTAAAAACAAAATTGGCCCACAAAATGTGGGAGTGGTGGGCGAAGCCAAGGTGTGGGAAGCCAAGGTGTGGGAAGCCAAGGTGTGGGAAGCCAAGGTGTGGGGAGCCAAGGTGTGGGAAGCCAAGGTGACCGTTCGCCGAGCAAGCCCTTTGAACGGTGTAAGATGCACGAATGGCTTCTACACGCTTCACCGCTTCTACCCCCTGCCACGGCTACACCGGATACACCCCGTTGTGGTCCTCGCAGAGCATGAGGAAGGAGCGCAGGCGGCGGTAGAATTTGTCCGCGTCGACCAATTCAACGTCGTCGTGATTCGACTTGGCGGAGCCCCAAAACTTGATAAGCGAATCGATGCTGAGGCGTCCGTCAGGAGAGTTACCCACGTTCTTCATCTTTCTGTACTTGTTTTCGAAATTCTTTCGAAGTGTATCTAGTAAAATCACGGAGTGGTAATATGGAATCTCCTGATCCCTTTTCCCATGCATAATATACACAGGGACAAGGGGGGCCTTGTTCAATTTTTCATAGTTTTTAAAAACATCAAACAATGGAAGGTACCTCTTCTGAAAGGGGAACAAGAGCTTTATTCCACTCGCCAAAGGGGATTGCAAGATACATCCCCCCACCTTCACATCCGGCGAACTAAGCAAGTAACTACTGGGACAGGTGCCAATACTGTAACCGTACAGGATGATATTTAACGGATTAATATGAACATGCTCCGTTAGAAATTTATATACCATTTTTATATTCTTATGCATATTCTTTTCTGTTGGCTTCTTATTGCTATATCCATATCCGCTGTAGTCGTACGCCATGATGTTTGCGTCTGTTTGGAAGAGCAAGTTGACGTACTGTGGAAATAGGCGTCCCATGTCTGTGTTGTTCCCATGTGAGTATAGAATGGTTTGCTTGTTTAGATCCAGTGGTTTTCTGTGGACGAAGATGGACGCCACTTCGTCCGTGCCGTCTACTATTTTATTGTATCTCACCCCCACGTTGTTCTTCTCCAGCAGCTCATTTATGTCGTACCCACTGATGTGATTCTTGTAGACAAATTCGTTATCCACCACTTCGTATCCCTTCACTTTGGGGGGCCAGAAGGCCATCCTGCTCACGATGAAGGATCTCAGCCCGCTGCAGGGGGGGGAGGCGGTTTGGAGTCAGCGGTTAGCAGTTATCGGTTTGTGGTTTGCGGCGGGCAACTACTACCACCGCGAATACTACCATCACAGCAACTGTCATCGCTCCCATCGCACTCACCACAGAGTCAAGAGGCCGAACAAGAAGAACACCAACTTGATGTTCTTCGGGGGTTCGTAGTTTTTAATGTACTTATCCTCCAGCTTGGTGTCCGCGTCATCCATATGATCATCGTCCAGCATGTCTCTCCTCCTCGTTGCGACCCTGGATGCCTCCCGAAAGTACACGTCACGGTTAGCCTCCATTTTGAGCAGGGGGAGGCACGTGGTGGCAAGAAGAGAACGTAGAGCAACCCAAACAGAAAAATTAAAAAGAGCAGAAAAAAAAAAAAAAATATACATATAATTGTGGTGGAGCTATTTCTGTGTAATTAACGCACCGATCCTAGTTGCGTCTGTCATCCGTTCGGTTGGTGGCTTGCTTGTCAGTTTCATTTCTTTCTTCTTTTTTTTCCTCACTATTTCTGTTATTTCTGTTATTTCTGTTGTTTCTGTCGTTTCTGGTATTTCTGTTTCTTCTGTTTTTTCTGTCTTTCCTTCCGCCCCTTTCTTGCCTTTCATTTTTTTTCTCGCTCCTGGTAGGCTCCAGCGGGGGTACACTCTTCAGTTAAGTGACCCGATTCAGGTGCATATGTTGCGCCACTGCTTGGAGTTGAAAAATATCGCGATCGTATTTTTTGCTCATTCTTCCTTTGGCCGTATTGAAAATAGCTAGTAGTGGGTGGCGCTTAAAAAAATTCCTTTCGCGTGAAATGTGCACCTCTAGACTTTTTTCCGTTTGCAGGTGTTAAAATAGGATTAATCTGTTTTTTCTTTTTCTTTTCCACTAGTTCTTTCGTTTGTGGGGAATCGGTCCTCGAAGCAGTCGTCAAAGAAGTTGTCGAAGCGGTCACCAAAGCAGTCGTTGCGAAACCTTCACCTTCGAAGTAACGGCAATTCCGAGGTGGCGAATGTATCGGGGTGAGAGTGACGATTGGGTTTGTGCAATTTGCTTCCGAAATTTGGCGCGCCAGAATGATTTGCAACTTCCCTGCTTTCGGTTGTGAGTGTCTATTTTTTTTTTTTTTTTTTTTTTTTTTTTCGCAGAAATCTGTTCGCGCGACGCGCAATTTTCGTTCGCTCTGTACAGGTTGCCACCTTTGCACATTTCGGATGGGTTGCAAAAGTGGGGGTTCATGCGGTTACGTTATTACGCTGTTATGTTGTTAAGTTCTTGAGAGGGTAAGCGGTTAAGCGGCCAAATGAACAAAACATGTGCATAAAAAAATGCTAACCCGAACGCGCCGTGTACCTGCAACGCCGGTGAGTGCCAACGTATGTGCGCACCTTTGCCTGTGCGTTGGTAGGTCCGCGCAGTTTACCCCGTCAGGGTTGCCTTCGAGGAGGGAAACGGCAGCCGCGTATGTGCAGTCGCGCATGTGCAGGCGCGTATGTTCAGCTACGTATGTGCAACTGCCTATGTGCAACTGCCTATGTGCAAGCGCGTGTGTGCCTCCTGCTTGCCTCACGCGGGGCGACAAGCCCGTTGGCCCCTTCTCCGAGAAGAGGGAGGAGGGTTGCCACCTTGACTTGCGCAGCCCCAAGGTGAAGCGCTATAGCGGACAAAGAGTTACGCAAGAGGAAGCAAGGCCAAACGGGAAACACACACGAACGGCGCATATTGTGTTGGTCTCCCCATGCACATGAAAAAGGTCAATGTCTTGGATAACTGTTACCGGGCAAAAATCTGTGAATTCGTTCTGCCTCTCTCTCTTTTTATTTTTTCTTTTTCAATCCACCCTGGTTTCCCTCGTTCCTACAAATATGCATCATGGTGACACTCTCCCTTCCTCCAATGCTTCGCTCAGCTCAACGTTAATACACCCCCAGTTGGTACATTCCAATCAGCAAAAAAAAAAGAAAGA